CCACCACGGACTGCATGGGGAGAGGTCAGAAAATGGGGAACGCTTCGTCGAACTGTGCGCAAGCAACAATGTGGTCATTACAACCACTTTGTTTCCCCATAAGGATATCCACAAGCACACATGGGTATCACCAGACGCCCGCACCAAGAACCAGATCGATCATGTGGCCGTGTGTAGAAAGTTTAGAAGATCAGTACTAGACACCCGTGCATTTCGTGGAGCCGATATCAACAGCGATCACCACCTAATCATCGCAAAGATCAAGTTGCAGCTGTGTAGAGTTGAGAAGAACAAAAACAGATTAAGGAAGTACAACACGGCCAAGCTCAAAGTGCCTGAGGTGGCGCAGAGTTTTAAAATCGAACTTCGGAGCAGATTTAGCTGCCTAGCAGATGATGAGGCCAATAACAGTGATGATCATGCTCAAGATGTGGAAAATGACTGGAAGAAGATTAAGCAAACTTACCAAAAAACAGTTGAAAAGGTTTTGGGGTTTCAGTCAAGGTCAAACAAACCATGGATCAGTGCTGAAAGTTGGAAGAAAATGGATCACAGGAGAGAGTTGAAAAGGAAAATGGATTCCACCAGATCAAAAAAGGGTCAGGGAGCAGCTCAGAAATGCATATTCAACCAAAAACAAGGAGGTGAAGAAACAGTTCAAGAAAGACAAGAATGACTGGGTAGAGAAGGTCGCCGAGGAAGCACAGAAAGCTGCAGAGCAGGGCCACCTTAAAACAGTTTATGACGCTACCAGGAAACTGTCAACCAAGAAGGGCAAGACCATGGATATGATAAAGAGCAAAGAGGGAGTACTGCCGACAAAACAAGACGAAATTCAAAAACGATGGAAGGAGCATTTCCTTAAAGTCTTGAATCGTCCAGCACCAGAAGATACAGGAGAGTTTGATGACGAGGATGTAATTCCTGAATCTGAAGCAATTATTGACGTTGATGCACCAACAAAGACTGAAATCTATGCAGCCTTTAAGGAGATGAAGAACGGAACTGCAGATTTGGAAACATCTGTGGATGTCTTACACTACTTCTTGCATAAGGTGTGGGAGCAAGAACAAATACCCAAGGACTGGCAATGGAGATTGATAATGAAACTACCAAAGAAAGGCGATCTCACCGAATGCAACAGTTGGAGAGGCATAACGCTTATGGTGGTTGCAGCAAAAGTTCTAGGCAGAATCATAATTACACGAATGCGGGATGGAATTGATAATAAATTGCGCCAAGAACAGGCAGATTTCAGGAAGGGCCGCGGTACAACGGAACAAATATTTATACTGCGCAATATCATTGAACAGTGTATTGAATAGAACGCCAACCTTTATGTCTGCTTTGTCGACTTCGAGAAAGCATATGATTCTGTACATCGTTCTGTACTATGGAGGATTATGGGAAGTTACAGCATTCCTGAGAAGATTGTGACAATGGTGAAAGTGATGTACAGTCGGAGTGAATGCGCTGTAATTGACGGGTCAGGTGTGCACGATTGGTTCGAGATCAAAATCGGTGTTTTAAAACAGGGTTGTTGTATGTCTGGGTTTCTTTTCCTGCTTGTTGTGGACTGGGTTATGAGAAAGACCACCAAACATGGGAACACAGGCATCAGACGGAAGTTCAACAACTTCCTAGAAGATCTTGACTTTGCTGACGACCTAGCCCTGATCTCTGGTAGTAGAAGTCATATCCAACCTAAAGTCAGCAACCTGGGACGTTAGGCCTCAAGATAAACACAGCAAAGACCATGATGATGTGCTGGGACAACACCGCAGGCAGAAAGGTCCAGGTC